GCTGTCTATCTTGCTGTCTATCTTGCTGTCTATCTTGCTGTCTATCTTGCTGTCTATCTTGCTGTCTATCTTGCTGTCTATCTTGCTGTCTATCTTGCTGTCTATCTTGCTGTCTATCTTGCTGTCTATCTTGCTGTCTATCTTGCTGTCTATCTTGCTGTCTATCTTGCTGTCTATCTTGCTGTCTATCTTGCTGTCTACTTGCTGTCTATCTTGCTGTCTATCTTGCTGTCTATCTTGCTGTCTATCTTGCTGTCTACCTTGCTGTCTACCTTGCTGTCTACTATACTGCCTGTCTTGCTGCCTGCCTTACTATTAACCTCACTATCTACCTCACTACCTGTCTCACTTTCTGCCTGCTGTTCTGCCTGCCTCATGCATGACCTTCCTGGGGCCTTATAATTTACTGTACTACCTTGCTTGCTATCCTGATCACTACCTTACTGCCTGCTGTTCTCCCTGCTATTTAACCTGCCCTTCTGCCTCCTATTCTACCTCCCATTCTGCCTCCCATTCTGTCTACCTCACTGCCTGTCTTGCTGCCTGCCTCATGCATGACCTTACTGTCTGCCTCCCTGTCTACCTTCCTGTCTACCTTCCTGTCTACCTCACTGCCTACCTCACTGTCTACCTACTGTCTCTCTTGCTCCCTCCCTGCCTACTACCTATGTCTATCATAACTATGGTTGATATTATATATATGCATATGTATAAACCACTGATTCGGCTAACATACTATATAAACCAACTGTATAATATATATCTCTGCGCATTATGGTTTACTAAAATATATATTCATTCCCAAATATATCAATGCTGATCGACCTCGATCTCCTGATATAACCGCCGTAACCAACAAAATGATGTAAATAACTGGCTGTGCCCCTCATGGTTGGGGTGCGCCTGCCCTAAAAACTGGACCACCTGGGCCTCATCCTGCCCATCAACCCCCATTCCCTGCAACCAGCGCTGCCATATGGGCTCGATCTGGCCCTGCCATGGCCTGAATAACATCATGGCCACCATGGGGATCAAAAACCCGCGGTATTTGCATGCATGGCCTGGCTCCCACCCACGGCATATGGATTGGGGCATGCTGCACGAAAAACATGTGCTATACAGGGCATATTGCACCTGCTGACGCACGCGGATCATCCATGCCCGCGCGGCCTGGCTGTGGGGCTGATGACATGCATATAACTTATGGCCACCATCACCCCCCTGCATGGCGCATATATAACATTGGTCCTGCCACTGCATGTATTCAGCCTGGGCCATCTCCTCATCCAAACCCTGCTGGGTCTGATGCTGCTGCTGCTGGATATCCATGGCGGCCTACTGCTAGGCCTGCACCTGCTGGGCGTGCCATACTGCCATGGGAATGGATGGCTGGCTACAAAATGACTTATTAGATGGGGTGGGACTGCCTGATGGTGGGGTCACCCTGTATGGTGCCTCACTGACTACCTCTCTCCCTGCCATGCTGCCTGCTGGGCATGGGGCCTCTCTGGCTGCCTCTCTTGCTACCATACTACCTGCCTGGCATGGGGCCTCTCTGACTACCTCTCTCCCTACCTCTCTCCCTGCCTCACTGCCTGCCTTACTGCCTGCCTCACTGCCTGCCTCGCTACCTGCCTTGCTGCCTGCCTCGCTGCCTGCCTTGCTGCCTGCCTCACATGGGGCCTCTGGGGCTGCCTCACCCGGCACTGGGCTGCTACCAACCCTGGCTGGATCCACCTCCAGCTCTGCCTAATTGGGATCACACCCATCACATATCTGCTCCCCAGGATCTGCATCCTAGTAATACTGCTGCTGATACCTGTCCACCACTCCGTCCAAATACTGATCTAACACGACCCAGCGGCACCTAATGCCTTCTACCATCCCTATATACTTAGCAACCCACTCCTGGTCCTTGGGGGCGACGCCCTCTATCTATGGAGCTAGGCCATCCCACCCAGCTAGCTAGATAATGATTACCTCACTGCGCTGTCCATCTTGCCCAGCCCAGCCACTCTCCTGCGCGTAATCCAGTAACGTCCGGGGGTCCTAATATGAATGATACTGTGGATATTAGGGATGTCCACCCCCATGCCTAACGTGCTGGTGGTGGTAATCACTGGGCTGGCCCCCATGAACCGCGCCAGCACCCCAGCCTTGTCCAACTGCTTGCTGTAATATGCCTTGCACCTAAGCACCCACGCCATGGCCATCACCTGCCTGATGATATTTGCATATATGATCACCTTCCCCCAGCGGCCCGTCAGATGTAGTCCTGAATGAATGCCATCACCGCCTCACTCTTAATCCACTGATATGGCCCCTGGCCCACCCTGGTCATGTCCAGCTACCACACCTGGTATGCCACATTCAGCCAGCTGGTCTGGGCCTGGTATATGGTCATAGCAGCCTGGTCATGCTTCATCCACCGGCATAATTTGGCCTCCATGCTCGGGGGCAACGTGGCGGTCAACCATACCATCTAGGTGCGGGCCTGGACTAACTGGCCCAGCTGAGCTATCTAGGGCTGGAAATTGTGCTGGGAATTCAACACCACATGGCATTCATTGATCATGATCTAGTCTAACTGCTGGGTCCACCGCAGCTGGTTTAAAAATGTCTGGAAATCAGGGCTCACCGCGGACTCAGGTGTCACTAATATAATGGATGTGGTATTAGGGGGCCGCTGGCTCTCCTATGGCATGCATGATATGCCAAGCTCCTGGCATCGCTGTATCATATCAGCCTGTAATGCAACAAGCAGAACCATAATGACAGTGGTGCCCCCAGGGGTAGTAAATGTGGGCACCATAAACAGCATGCTCTTTCCCCCACCAGTGGGCATTACTGTGACCACGGGCTCTCCCCCCACTGGATGGCGCGCATGGCTGGGTCCTAGATGCCCCAGAACCGCATGGCGGGCCGCCCCATCATGCACTGCACGGCGGCCTCCAGATCCATTATTGCCAACTGGTGCCAGCATTCCATGCAGCTGACCTCGGCCTCATCCTCCCACGGGGCCTGTTTGTGCTTGCCTAATATGGATGGGTGGCCCGGGGCACTAAACCCTAAAAACTAATGCTAATTAGTGCTGGATAACTGGAACATCTCCCGCCAGTGGGCTATGCTGCTGGCCTGTTCCTGCATGACACAGCTATATACCATGCCGGCAACATGTGATGAATGGGCGGCCTGTAAATCAGCAATATGGCCTATCCACTGCTTAATATCCATGCCCTCCTCAGCATCAGCATCCATGGCAGCTGGGGCCGGCTCAGCCTCCTGGATATTATGGGGGAATGCGGTGGACGGCCGCAAAAATCAGCAGCTGATGCCAATGGCGATGTCCTGGTATGCGGCGATATGGATGGCAGTGCCTAGCCAGGTGCAGGTTTCCCGTGTCAACACCTCCCGGAACCGCTCGGATGACCATTTGCGGCCAGTACCAGGGTCGGGGCCCCATAACCATGCCTGCGCAGCCTGGCTCCCCTGCGCGGGCTGGCTCCCCTGCGCGGGCTGGCTCCCCTGCGCGGGCTGGCTCCCCTGCGCGGGCTGGCTCCCCTGCGCGGGCTGGCTCCCCTGCGCGGGCTGGCTCCCCTGCGCGGCCCGGCTTCCCTGCACGGCGTGACTTCCCTGCGCGGTGTGACTTCCCTGCGCCGCCTGACTTCCCTGCACCACCTGACTTCCCTGCGCCACCTGCGCCGCCTGCGCCGCCTGCCATGCAGCCAACTAATTAATGAATGGCATCACCAGCCACATATACCATACTACTAACTCCCCGACCTCCTGCGGCACATATCGATGGATGATCTTGACATCATTGCTAGCATGGAATCCCTTATGATATGCCGTCACAAATGTCACCATGCCATCCTTGATATATATATTCCGCTGTTAACTATTTGCCATGTTGCAATGCTGAATACTTAATAACTCTAGGGCCTGGGCCGGCTGCCCTGCAGTGACATGCATAATAATTACTAATTTCTCCTTGAACTGGGCCACGCGCTGCCAATACTGCTGGATGGCGGCAGGGTGGAATCAGCTGCCCTGCAGAAAATGCCACTGCATGACTGGCTCAGCCCGCAGCCAGTTGATCATCCAGTGGGTCCCATCCACCAGCCACTGGGTCCATGTGTTATGCAGAAAGTTCCACCCTGCCTGGGTCTGGCTGGGATCGTCATATAATGCTGTCCAGGGAATGGCGGGCATCTGCGCATGATCCTGCATGCATAAATGGCCTAGTATCTCCCTCGCTGCAGTCACTAATCCATGGATGAATCCCCAAAAATCCCCATTATGAATGCCATCTACTAGTATAATAACTAGTCCTCACCCATCCACGTCACATGTCTGGGCGCGGTATGATTATAATGGACCTTTAATCCATACATGCGCCAGTCTAGCAATGTTTCTATAGGGCTGTGTGTCCCACAGATCATAAACTAGTGCATCATCCATGTCACCTGCTCCTGGAACAGTCGGCGGCTCTGGTGAATGTTAACCGCGGGTAATGGATCATCGCTATAGATGGATGATGGTGGTGATGATGGTGGTGATGATCAGGGGTCATTGCTGCCATATCCCTTATCAATCCCCCCAAGTTGATTATCTGCACTAGCTAGGACCTATTCAGCACTCTAGTCCTTTTATATCCAGGTCTGAATGATCTGCCATGGATTCAGGTCCATCTATAATGCTTTCTGGACCACCATGAATCAGGCCACCTTGATCACGCGGGATAATATTAGTGGGTAGCTCTCTAGGTCCCGCCAGCCAGCCTCACCCTGACTAAGTACGGCCATGGCGCATACTAATGCACTCTTATATTCATGGCTGCGATGGCGCTGGTTAAGCAGCTCAATGCAAAATTCTAAGCATGCTTTTTCTATAGCAGTCATTGCCCATACTTCTAGGTCCTCTGGGTTCTCCAGGTCCTCCAGGTCCTCCCGGTCCTCCTGGTCCCCTGGAACTGCGGCCTGGCTAGCAAGCTGCCACAGCTACCGCCATTTCTGGTGCTGCCGCGCGGTCATCCCATATTTCAGGCTGGTCCAGCCATGCAGGGCCTGCATGCGGGTAATGAATACTAATATCTGCTGCCATGGATGGACATGCTTCTGGACCACAGCCTCATCCATGTATGCCAGCAGCAGCCGGTATGGGGTCTGCCCCTTTTCAGACCGGACGGCTTCCACCCGGATGGCCTGGCCGCAATGCTGGACTGTCTGCTGGCTCTTACGGGCAACCTGCTCCATGGTGGCCCAGATGACCTGCACACGCTGCTCAGTGGCATCCTGGGGATCTTCCTCCAGGGCTGCCACGCAGGCTAGCAGGTCATGGGCCTGGGTGCCCTGCAGATAGTCAGCCCACCAAGTCATCCGCAGCCAGGGGTTCGCGTCAGTCAGCTGGCTGGCCTAGATGGCCTGATCGGCCTTGGCCCGGGCCTGGGCCTGCTCCCAGGCCTGCACCACCTCATCCACTACAGCCTGCACGCCCTGGGTAGATGGGGGTGGGGGACCCCATCTGGATATCGAATATAGATATAGTGGGACCCTGGACCACTAGGGAACACCTGCTGCCATGAGACATATTGAAATGACTGCTGTAGCTCTGCCTCACCCCTAGCCTTCTCCTTTGGGCCTACCCGCCCGCGATGGCCCTGCTGGGACCACTGGTGAACTATTCACCAGTGCTTTCGCATAGATTTCATAGTAGAGGCAATGAATAAGCATAGTGGATCTCACTGGCAGAGCAAGCCATTTAATTGACATGGTAATATAGGCAGTGGCTGATCTAATTCATATGGTATGCAGATTGCACTACTCTCATACTGAATATCATCCCATTGAGATATTGCCTGGATGATCTGGCTAGTGACTGCATGCTTTAGGTGATGCTTCTTCTTAAGATGCTGATCCACCTCTGCTGGTCGCACCCCCTGCTGGCATTGATGGCAAATGAGTATGCCTAGGGTCGGCACCTGACAAAATAACTGGTTTTCCATAATAACTATGGATGAATATGGATGGATTAAATGAATTTAAATGACTATTTATGAATTCTAAGAGATGGGAATACCTCTACCCCTGAATCTAATGCAGGTGCGGGTGATACCCCAACAAAATTACAGAGGTTGAATAAGGTAATTTTATAACCACACCACACCTTCAAGAATGAATTAATAGACCTTAAATTTAACTAGTGAAAAGATAAATAGCTACTCTATATAAGGAAAAAATCTGAGCATTATCAGCCTATTATTACTAAATGCACCATGCCACTAAGTGTGTAAACCCACCATGCGCGGACTTGGGGTTTGCCAAGCAATCAGTAGCTACACACCCTAAACGCACCATGACCATGGTGCTCCACCCCTTGTGGGATAGAGTATATTAAATACCTATATACCTAATCCCTTATTCCCTAGCTCTAAAAGCTACCCTTATCCTCCCCCTACTATAAAGGGGCCCTATTATTTTATAGATTTAGTATATCTTATTCTACTAGATATAATAGATAGGCCTAGATAGGTCTAGATAATTATAGAATTACTAGGCTAGTATAAGTTAAATATATTTATTTCCCTTTATTATATATATTTATATGTAAATATATATTCATAAATTAAATATCTCCCTAGATCTAGATGACTCTACTATATATATAGTTACTAACTAAAGCTTTACCTACATCTGAATGACCCTACTATATATATATTTTAGACCTGTTAAAGCTGAATCACCTAGTTAAGATAGCTAACACAGGGACCTATTAAGCTAAATTACTAGGCTGAGCCATACTGAATCACCTAGTCTAGATAGCCTATGCAGAGATCTATCAAAGCTGAATTTCCTAGTTAAGAGAGCCCACGCAGGGACCTATTAAAGCTAAATCACTAGGCTAAGCCATATCAAATCTTCTAGACTAGACCCCCCACACAGGGACCTATTGAAGCTGAATCACCTAGTCTAGATAGCCCACACAGGGACCTACCGAAGCTGAAACATCTAGTCTAGGTAGCCTGCTTATAGGCCTCTCCCTACTAGACCACTAAGTCTAGACCTACTCTCTAAATGAAATCCACAAAACATTAACTTCTATGAATTTTTAAAAATTCTAGGCTTAGTATTACTAAGCATACTATATATCATTCTTCTAGTTAAAATTAGGCCTATTCACTAGAAATAGTGATAATTAGTCAGCAGGTAATAAATTTTAAAGTCTTCTTTAAGAATTTTTAAAAAATCAGGAATCATGCTTACATAATCAGACTATTATCATTCTATAGCTAAAAGTCCCTACTATTCACTAAAAATATTAATTATTAGTCATCTAGTACTATACTCTTCATAAATACTAGAAATTATTTTTCTTATATGTTCTGCCTGAATTCTAAGGCTCTGCTAGGCTAATAGATGCCTTAGGCACTACTCTATACCAGGTGGTGGCCTAAAAGGGTATAGGTCCCGCAGATAGTGGTCTTGGCAGACCCCAACAAAAATTTTCAACCTTACCCCTACCCTCCTAGTTCGACCACCTTCCTAGTGAATAATCTAGAATTTAATATTAGAATATAATAATTTAGCTAATTAGAATCATAAAGCATTTTAAACCATTCAAAAATATCAAGAATTGACTAAGGTATGGGCCATTGCCGTGGAGTCCGCCAAGGCAGGATGATCAGGACCGTGGAATCCGGACTGGACGGGGAATGGATGTGGAAACTGCGGTCACCAGGCCCTGCGGTCGGCCCTAATTAGTATGGGAACCGTGGAGTCCGCGCACAACACCACTAGTAGGGGCGTCAGAGGGGTCCCCGAAGGGGGAATGGTAAGGGTTAAAACAGTTAAAATTAGCAGTTTAACCAACCCGAAACCGAACCGAATCTAACCATGGTTAGTTAGTATAGGCCTAGCTAGGCCTAGCAGCGGGTTTTGCGGTGAAAACTGCAACCGAATCGCATCGGGTCCGGGCTTGGTGCGAGTTCTAAATTTTGAGGCTTGAACCCGCCCGAACCCGCACCAAATGCAACTCTAGTCCAGACTGGGGACGCCACTAGTCTCAAAAGGGGAATCTTGCATAATCCATTGCAAACATACCAGATCTCACTCTGTTGTATGTACATTAATCATTCACTAGCATACTTCCGGTTCTCAATCATGCCATTTGGAGGATACCCATTCAGGTTGCTGCCCTTCGTTGCCTGCAGCCTGGCAGCCTGGCACGCCACATACGATAAAGGAAGGGTTGAACACGTGATTACCCGATACGGACTAGCAGCTTATTGAGCTCCAGTGCTTTCCTTATGGTGCCTGAGGCTACAATTTGGACAGTTGTTCTGTGAATAGTTCATTTTGTCGCCCTCTCCTTTGGCTTTGATTCTGGCTCATGGACGCTGTTTTTCATTGCTGTTGCAAACTTTTTAATCTATCAAATGATCTGTCCCACTATCTCTATTGACTTGCAAGAACGTCATGGCTTGCATCTCGGCAACCTCAAAAGTAAATGGGTTCTGCGAGAAGCGCACGAGCGTGGCAAGGGCGGACGAGCCGACAAAAAACCCCATTCGAGCAGAAAAAGTTTGTTAGGACGGCTTTCAAGTTCTGATAAAGCTTCTTGTCTTTGCTAGCATAAGATAGAACAGGCGATATATGTGACCGACGAGGATGGTAAGCGCGGTCTGTATGCTATATATGCTATATGCATACATCATCTATCTGCAGCGCGATATGACAGAGAGAAGCGGACCAACCACCACACCCAACCAACCAGGCGACATAAGTAGAGAGCTTCAAAACTTTCTGGAATAGTTGATAAACTTTACACGCCATGCTTATGGGGCGAACGCTTCTCAGCTCATATCTTTGATACGCTCGGATGCTCCCAACGAGCGAATTCCAACATCAAGCCGGCGGAACTACTGCCTCACCGCTGATTGAGCATTTGCATTGGGAACCCACTTTATGGGACCCCAGGACAATAGACAGTCATTGCTTGTGAACGTTGATATCCAAGCAGCCCTGTCGCAGCTCTGGCCGGCGCTCCGCCGAGCGTCGCACTTATCAATACATCCCTGAAGGCTACCCACGGTGAGTCTCGTCTGGTCCGACTGAGTGGTGCCAGTTGCCACTGCGGGGTATAATGTTAGAGTAATATTCACGCTATAGCAGGGGGCTGGGAGTATATCTTACACTCTCCGCAAGTGACGGCCCAATTAGACGTACCCTGGCTATGCGTCTGGCCACCTTCATTACATTAGTAACTTGCTTCACTCCTGGGACAGATCAGGTGTAACCTACATGCGGGAGTAGTGTTCGGGACTGGGTCTGGTTCCCCAGGTCCAGCCTGGCAATTATCGCGCTCCTGCTTGCACAGGTCAAGTTGCTGCCTGCATTGGTCACGATCCAGCTTGCACTGATCATACAGCTCCTGGCTAACAGGTTCAGGACCAAAAGGATCTTCCGGTACTTTTTCCATCACTAGAACATTGTTACTATTCGGTGATGTTCCAGGCTCTGTGCACTTCCAGCAACCTCCGTTAGAGCGCCTCCAAGCGACACGCTCGTCCGAGGAAGAGGTGATTTTCGCAGCACAGTCATTCGGATGATCGTAAATTCCTGGGACTTGAACCGGACCTGCGCAGCTTTGGTCGCAGATATATCTAAACTCCACGTTTTGGATCGTAGCCGTATCTCTGGGTGGGGAGCTCCTGCAAACTTCACTCCAGGCCTGGTTGCGGTCGGCCAGAACGCTGGAAAAGAAGGGTAGAATGGCAAGAAGAATTTGGGCCCTCATATCAGGAAGGGGACTATGAAAAAGGTGACTAATATTCAAGATAGAACGCAGTAGAATGGATTGGGGGATGAGAACTGATAATCATGTTTGAAGGAGGGTTCGCTCACGTTCTTAAACAGACCAGCGCCAGAGATGCAGATCCAGTCATCTGCCATTTACCTACACCTCTCTTCGTGATCAGAGTTTGGGGTATGTGATGGGCAAGTCGCACTATGCATCCTAGCAGGCATCAGTGCGCCGGGCCTAAGCCATCCTACACATATGTCCCGGTTTATGTAATGAAAGAACTATTACGGACAAGAGGGGATCCTAGTGGCAATACATGAGTATGCAGTGAGTTGTTCGAGCGTCGCATATTCGGAGTACCAGTAGTCCGAGAGGAAATGCAGCGTCAATCCATATACTGTTTTCCTGCTTTGGGTGCGCTGCGTTGTAAGTGGAGAATCCAGGAATTATCCGATGTGATGAATTCCTCACTCTGATCACACGACCCCATTCTGAATGCACCTTCAGCAGCATGAAGATGGTAGTTCCTCACCGCACTGTGGGTGAGGGCTCATTACACAGGTGGAGACTCGGCTTAGACTATTGGAAGCATGCATGCATTGTACTTTTGGCATCGTCATCACGATGTATTGTTACCATATATATCTTACAATACCGTTTTCCTCATGATCCACCAGCAGTTTACATTCCTTTTGCTCGCATTTTGGGCTTACATTATGGGTTACCATATCAAATGAGTACGGGAACAAGCTATATGTGAGATTCACGATCACAGCCACAGTGAAGACCAAGGCGGATTAATTTATGGACCAAAGGAAGATGAGAACGGAACACCCTACGTTTAGGTCTACAATGATTCTATTTCGAATGCTTTCAGGAGAAGACATTCATGAATTCCGCTTCGATATGGCGTAGATAATATAATGTAAACATAAAAGCTGAACACATACCAACGGCAACAGGCAAGTTGGAGATTAAATGAAAAACAAAATATAAAAGCCTAAGCCTGTAATTCACAACCCTCCACGGTCCCCTGAAGCAGAAACTCCCAATCTCAGCTGCACGTTTCCAGTACTCAGCTCCGATCACTTGAGTTAACACCCTCAGACGACCATCGTCTCTCGCTTCACCTTCACCCCCGGGGCAAGGTATCATTGACATCCCGTGGCGGCGCCGCCGAGAGAACCAGTGTTGATGCAGGCTGAATTCCGCTGATTGAATTGAGCTACCGTCTCGTGACATGGATCGCAGCAAGAGTTGCAGCTGCCACCGCCGCCACCTCCGCGGTTGTTTACAAAGATAGGGAGCGGAATCCACCAGAAGAAGAGAAAGGCATGCGAGCCCTGAATGAAGGCGAGAAGAGTGATGATAAGGGGGAAGAGACGCATCTTGATGAACGGAAACTGGTTTATTCGCCCTGGGTGGTAAATAATTAACAGGCCAGTCAAGTCGATCTTGGAAGTAATCCGAAGTAACATACACTTGGGGGCAGAGGAGAGTTTATCACGCTCGTATGAGTTGTGCTCAAGGAGGGAAGGGATGGAGAGAGTTAAGTATCAGGTTGGGAGGACGAGTCTCCAGCACGTCTGGTTATATATCAGATATGGGATAAGATGAAATTACCAGGAAAGAACATGACGACTAATGCCTGACTCACCACGGATTCCACATCAAATCGGGTATCATTTAAGCCCTGTGCAATAGGATACGCTCATGCAGGAGGCTACCGATGCAAAGTGCCTCTTCATTGACTGGAAGTAGAACAAAAACGCAGAATGAAGTTTCAGCTCGCCACCTTTGTAGACCTCTCTTCCGCATCATCTTTCCCTCCCCCAATCGAGACGAGGTTACTGCAGCACCTTGGGTTACGGCATGTTAGATCATCTGTGATTCCTTCCATTACGAGAAAGGAGAAGCAAAGTAGGCGACGAAGGCAACCGAAAACCACCAAAAGGGAAACCACCGAGAGGGGAGGCTATGAAGGAGGGGTTTCGCCGTTACCTGCAGATAACTGCACAGATATCACCTTGCATTGGTGACTCTCAATTCGTGAAGGCAATGCAGAAGCAAAGCTCCCACTGGCTTGGACCGGTGTACTTTTCTTTCAGATTGGAGTTTACCAGCCCGACTGAACAGGATTGATCGGTCCAGTACCCCATTCGGATTCGTCAAACATATTCTGGCGCGATTTGTCCTGTGGACATATCTCCCTAAGATTCATTCGCCCCAGACTATATATGGCTTACTGACTTTTCCCACACCTACGACCTACCTGCTTCTCAGTCTATCTCTTCTTCCCTCCCCCTTGGATCTGCACATTTGCATATTTACTTACGGTCCTTAATAATGAATGCTAGAAGAGGCATCATATGGGCTGCTGTCGGCCTTAGTGCCACGATGCTCTTAGCAATTGGCGGCAATGCTCAGTCCGGAGCCCTTCAAGACCCCTTTGGGCCCGAGGACCCCTTTGGACCCGATGACCCATTCGGGCCTGACCCTGGCTCCGGCTCTGGCGCAGTGTGTCCATCCCCGTGGAGCGCAACGCCAAAAGGAAACTCAGTCACCACAACCACGGCCGATTGTCCTACTGGTTGGTTTCCTATTCTCTCAACGTACTTCTGCTCATTTATCGTATCCATTCTAACTAAACTAGACGATGGAAAGCTCTACGCAACGTCGAGTGGAGACTACATGTATATCCAATGCTGCGCGGACAGGAGAAATGGCCGTCTTCTGGGTGCGGATACCGTTGCTGACTTTGGTGCATGCATGGATCTCTGCATGAAAGATAAAACCGGAGAGTGTCGAAGGTTCGTTGCCCTTACTCCGTCCCAGCGGAACCACCCAAATGCTAAAAGCGAGTAGTGTTACCTTTGCTCCCTCATCGACAGGGCGCACAGACAGTGTGAACTGTGCCCTCTGGGCGCATGGAGGTTTCTCGCCGCACCAAAGCTCGGTCAACCTGGGTCATCACGCCTACTACGTCGAAGCTCCCTATGTGGACCAACCTGATGACGAGATTGAGCTCTGCTCGACCAAGTGCCCGGGAGCACACAATCAAGTGTTCACATCGCAATACGGCGAGGTATGAACCCATGCGTCCTCCCTCCATTCTCGTTCTGCCTATTAATGGAGACGTAGTCATTCCTCATGACCTGTGGCAAGCGACACGGTACGGCCGGTGTATCGCAGTACGTAGACTCTTACGAACAGTGCATTGACACCTGCGGATTGATTGGGCAATGCAAGAGTGTTGACTACCACCATCGTACCGGACGATGTACATTTGGCGAGCACGGTGGTGAGCCCATGATTGAAGCCTCCGGATACGCGAGTGCTTGGTCCATGGGCTGCTCTGGAGCCTGCAAAGAATACCCCAAGCCACCCGCGCCGCGCACCGAGAAGTACTGCCCCGACAAGTACCATGGCGCCTTCTGGTTAATTGACGGCCAACCATGGAAGAGCCAATGCACTCGGGCCGTATGGACGCAGCCTGTAAATGAGTACACTCTGGACGCTGGCCCAGTTGATATGGAAGAATGTCTCAAGAAGTGCCAAGATTCTCCTGGATGTATATGGGGAACTCTTACATTCGCATCTGGCAAGTGCGTGGGCTACACGAGGAAGTACGGTACGCTTGACGTCTCCACCGTTGGAAAGATCACAGACTATGTAAACTTCGAGAAGCTCCCGTCGACACCGATACCATGAGGGGATTTGGATTGTGATGCTGTATGGCCTTGCGTGACGTTCTATTATTACTACGCTTATTTTTTCTCGCCATGTTCTCTCTCTCTCTTTCCATATCCGTCGTGTAGTTCATCTTTTGTCATGCTTTATTTCCTGTATCGGTGCCCCGAACGCAAGTATCGAGCATAATTTAATAGGGGAACAATTCAGTTTCGTGCTCAAGTCTTCTAAATATCCTATTACAGTTGTCAAGTGTGCCGTCCGGTAAGCCTAAACATCAGTTGGAGTCTGCTTCCCAATCATAGTACAGGCTTTCTGCACCCATTATCTAGATACTCAAATCAATGGGAGTTGCTCTAAATCAATCACGTTCCAGTCTAATCCTCTCTGGATAACGGGCATCCTACTGTTCTGGATTGTCTGTCGTGGGGGAGTATACAGCCCGAGGAATTTCTATTCCTCTGCGGCGGACTTGCGTCAGATTCGGCCCCAACTTGGAAAGAGCTGAGTTGGGCCAGATGTAACGGAGCATAATGGATTGTAGCACAACCCCGCATAGTTGCCGAATGTAAGATCGAAAGAAAATAGGCAACTGAACCAGCAATTATCCTCACTCCCCGTGGAACATAAATCTGCAAGCTCCGCTTTCATCCTGCAGCGTCTTGCCTAATATATGCCTGTAGGGAGGGGGCCCAGTGTGATTGTGGCTTGCGTGCATGAGCCAGATCCGTTATGGCCCAGCCCCGCAAGTACTATACCCTGTCCAGCCACCAGGAGACAGCATCGAAGCGAAATGTCCAAAGTTTGGCATCGCTTTCGTGACGCTCGGCGTTACAGGTATCATACTGTACCGGTGTTTAGAGCCCAGCAGCGCACTATTTGATGTTGGCTGCAGCTATCGAGAGTGGATGATCCGCGGCAAAGAACGCGCTCGAGCCGACCTGCTGCAGATCCTCCAGCCAGCCCGAGTTCACAACCCCACTTTTCAAACCCATATCCCTGTCTGTAGTAACAGGAACAGGCGTTCCCAATCGAACTCTTCGGGATCGAGAAATCTAGAACCTCTCGTAACTTGATGTGGCACGGCGTTGACAACCACAAAGTTGAGACCACATCTGTGGCTTCATCCTTCATCCCTGCACGCCTGGGTACTACTGTTCTACGTTGACCATCATGCAGAGGGTCCGGATTTTACATCCACTACCAAAAAACAAAAAAAAAGGCAACTGCGTGCACTGCGGGGGATCGGTCAAAAATCTTCAGCTCGTCTCAAATCCTGCCGACAGTAACATAATGCGCATGCAGCACGGAGACCCCGCTTCAGTTTGGGTTTTCTATTCTGTCCCCCTTCAGCTGCTACCTGTTCATGGTTCGCATAATTGAGTTCAGTATTGATCGATAGTGGTGTGTACGTATACTCAAGAATACCCAAACCCCCCAAGACCCTCCGGCCCCCGCAACTCGTTTGAAGACATCGTTTTATTATTACTGCGTTCATCCAGTCAAGGATTCAAACTTTCCCTCCAGTCAATTCTTCAACCACTATCACAGTCATGGCTCCATCTACGCTGTCGAAGCTGCTGCTTCTTCCTCTGACCTTTTGGCTTGTCAATGCCGCTTGTCCAGCAGCTCTAACCGCAGCCCCCGCCCAGCCTGAGGTTGTTGGTGCGCTTGATGAAGCTGTGTGTCCTGAAGGTAAGTTTTCTCAACCGTCCCATTTACCCTGCAAGGTGATCTAACCCGATGTCCTAGACCATAGCAAAGCAGTTGTAGGAGCGGATGGGACACACTATCTGTTGCAGTGTTGCGCGAAAAGGAGTACAGGCGCCACGTACCTCGGGCAATCCTCAAGTGTACCCTCAAAAAGGGGCTGTCTTGAGCGCTGTGAGAAAGTCGACAAATGTAATAGGTAAGCCGCCCCCAATATGGACCCGGTTACCCTTCACGCTGGATTCTTTTCCCCTTTTTGCTGATTCCAATGATTGTCATAGTGTCGAATACGATAACGATTCGAAAACGTGTGTCTTTTTCGATGGGCCAAATTTCTCCACCGAGGAAGCTGGTGGCCCCACGCACGACTGGCTGTATTTCATTGATCCTCCTGCACAGCCAGCAGTCCACAATATCACCCATATGTGTTCCACCGATTGCCCGGCGGCGCATGGTCAGAAATACGTGTCCGAATATGGCGAGGTGATTTTCCGTCTTTTACCGTTCGCATGTACTTTTAAGAAAACGTCTAATTCCCATTGATATTGTCTAGCTCTTCCACATGGAATGCGGTAAACGGCATGGAACAGTCCCCTTTAGGGAGGAAGAAAAACTCACCTATCGTGACTGCCTTGACGGCTGTGCGAAGCTTCCCAAGTGCCTCAGCGTTGACTGGTCGAGCCGGACGAAGATGTGCTATTACGGGACGCACTCAGGAGCTGCCCCGGTTTCGGCGCCCGCGTACAATAGCGCCTACTCATTTGGATGTGCCGGGGCTTGTGAGAAGGATATGAAGGAAGCTTGCGGGTGTGGAGGTAGGAGTACACCCGTCACCGCGTAGAACCCAGTAATCTATTGCAGGGGAATAGCGTACAAATTAGTACTTTTCTTTCGGTTTTCGTCATCGATTGTATGTCGAAGTGCTTTGGGATCCAACACCGCGAAATTGTTTTAGCCCACTTTTGGAATGATATCTGACACTCGTATCCGTCATTCTACATGGCGGCGGCGACGAACAATAGATGTTGTGGTTTCCTCATCACCACTGTGGTTAGCCGTAGCCGTGGTCCTCGCATTCGTCCCACCATAGCCTGCTAGTAAATAATATTCAGGGATAATAGGTGTACGACACTCCAGTCACAACCTAAGAGTCGTTGAGAAACAAAAAGTGCTGGAAAAAGAAAGTCGGTTAATGGACTCAGCGTAAAGCAAACACTGTCGGCGCCGAGGCGAGGCACGTGCGAGGCACGTGCGAGGATTTGGAGCTTGGTGGACATGGGAGGTTCAGCAAAAGGAAACTGCTGCCTGGGTTTATGTCTAGTTTGCTGCCATTATATTAATAATGTCCGATAATCCGTGCACGTGACTGTCTTTAGCTCTGACATAATTTGAGGATATCAGTGGTTCCAGTCACAGACGAAGGTTCAGTCAAAAGAGAGATTGAGTTAAGCTCATCCCAATCCTGATCACCCCTGATCACCTGCTGACCCGCTCACCCCAGATCACCTGCAGGCAATCGCCGCCTATCCTAAATAAGGTATAGGAATTTAATTAGAATGCACTTCTGTGTTTTAGATAAGTCTTGCATTTCCTTTCATAGACTTTGATCGCGTGGGGAGGGTGAGCACTAGAATATATAAATGCCTGAACTTCCATAGCTTTGCGCCTGGAGAACTCGCTCTCATTCTATCCTCTTACCTGTTATTGTTGCTGAAAATTTCTGAGGATGATAAAGCCTAGAAAAATCCGTCATTGCTAGTCTAACAAGCCTAAGGCAAAGCATTAACAGCACAAACGATGAGGATATACCTTGTTCTGGAAGGTGTTTGGATTCTGCTAGGGTGTAATGCGGGGCGTCTCACTCATGGTTTAGTTAAAAGAGAATAGTCAGATTTACATACTTAACTCAGATAATAGATGGTTCCTATCATAGGAAGGCTTAGTAGGGTATTTTCCCCTTTCCCCCTCTTTTTCCCTTTCTTTTTTTCCTTTTATTTTTCCTTTTATTTTCCTTTTATTTCCCTTTTATTTTCCTTCTACCCCACCCCACTCCCTTTTTTCCTTCTCCTTTTGGTGAATTTCAGGACTATACTAATGGCTGCAAGTCTTTACACTATCCTATACCTTTAAGGATAACATGGCAAGAGTTGGCTGCTGCCTATCAAGCTTAAACATAACTAATTAAGTATAATAGAGGAGCTCACTATAAGATGTATCTATGTTTTAATGGCTTTGGTTGCTGAGATATTGCTAACTAGGAAGACTATATAGTACCTTCCTATAATATTCTGGGTTGATCTGAGATGCTATCTTATTGACATTTGTACGCCAGGGAGCTTATATTTACCAATTTATATAGCCTTGAAAACCGTAATGATCGCCGTCATGGGAAGACAGCAGTCACAATTGGAGAGCAGTCCTGATTTAACAGCAGTCACATCTTCAAAGTCCACATTGTATTTGCACATAATCTTCCTCCATGGACCCAAGGATTTGAAGCCTTTTCAGACCCATCAGATAACACTATTTTTTTAGAGTATCTACTAGGGAGATGATCAGCTGGCCTGTGATGCCTTAGAAGCATTTACTAACCCAGACATGTACTCCATGACTGCTCATTAGGACTAGAAAAATAAGTTGCTCTTGCGAGAGTACCTTGTCATATTTCTCAAATGATTCATTATGCAGCTGCCCACACTAAGCCTGCCTAATAGGGGCCACCTGCCCTTTTTATTTCTTTAAGAGAAAGAATTTTAAGGGGAAAGGAAAAGTTCTCCAGAAAGTAGGCAATGGCTTTGGCCCTAAAGGAGTGGGTGGGATAAATAAGTCACTTACTGTAAAGCCATATAGGTTGTTCTTGTGGTTTGAGTGTGTTCAACCAATATTTCATTTCGAGACTTGCGCTTTTATTAAGGGGCATCAAGATCTTCCCTTCCCAGCTCTGGCCCATTATTTGATGAATATAATCATTTCCAATAGTGGTTGACCAGATTCCAAAATCGTCCAGCCTTTGAGAGGAAAAGAAAAGGGCAAAAAAACATGGCGTTTTCTTGCAGCCCCGGGATGCTGAATGTAGGGTCAGATAAACAGTCGTTCACCAGCAACAGCAGAAGGTGTTTACAACTCAGGATTGCCTGCAAGACATAACCCATGCCAATTTTTTTAATGTCCTAATTTTTGTTTATATTTTTTAATTCATATTTTTTATTTGTATTTTATTTTATTTTAATTTTTGTTGCTTTTTATAATTTTTTTTTGTTGCCTGCGTTGGTTCAACGACATTGCACAAAACCAGAGTGTCCAGAAACTCAACTTCCTACATGCAAAGCTAGAGTTCCTAGGCAGTCGGTGCATAAATCTATAAGGGCAACAATTTCACATGATCTTCCAGCTCAAACACCAGGAATAGAAGGTTTTGAAACCCATCAGACCACACTTCATATTCTTAAATAATTTACTATACACAGGGGACATCCAGTGTTATAGTATACCCAGTTACAAATCAATTAAGCGCCTAGGATAAGCGCCTTTAATTCACCCATCGCCGCCCGCCTATATTAGTGATTGAATTTTTGGTATAGATAGTTGGTAGTCTCATATATCTATGGAAATCCAACGTCATACTGTTGCAACAACCGGGATATTCAACGCTAGGGAGTGCAGCCACACTAGGGAGTGCAGCCACACCAGGGAGTGCAACCACACTCCCTATTGCACTTACACTCCCTGCTGCACTTGCACTCCCTAGTGCACTTACACTTCCTGGTGCACTCACAATTTCTAGAGCACTTACACTCCAAATAATACCATTTCTGATGTCCATAGTCCGCAGTACCTGGCTGTATCTGAATATGCCCTACCAGAGAAAAAGTGCCAACAGGACCTAGGCCAGCATTTTAATTATCTAAAACATACTCCTCAGGAAATGACTATAGATACAAAGTAGAGTTGCATTTGGTGCGGGTTCGGGCGGGTTCAAGCCTAGTTGAACCCGAACCGCTGCGGTTTCGGGTTCAAATTTTAGAACCCGCAACCAAACCGGTTCGGGTTGTGATTTTCACTGCAAAACCCGCCGCTAGGCCTAGATAGGCAGTCACTAGCCTACCTAGGTGGGCGGTATGCCTAGGCAATATCAAAAATTTCAATGGTTTTTAGATTTCAATTTCCCCTACCTTAGGCCTATGCCCAGCGCCTATTAAACATGCTTATAGAAAATTAATATTTTTATATGAAATATATGGTAATTATAGTCATTTTAATCTATATTTTAAATATTGATTCAATATCTATAGGGCTGAATAGGTGGTGGTTAAAAAATCATTTTTAAACATGGTGGTCGTCAAGGGTTGGTTGCATATATATATAAACCACCACTACTTTCATACCAACCTATGACAGAAATGCTTATTCCCTTATATCTTACTAACCACTAGATATTTTCAATCGATATTTCATGTTTAGATAGACTAGATACTAGGCTATCTAGTGATATTAATATTTCTAGAGAAATCCTAGAAATTAGTGATTACTAAGCAAAATGGTTTCTAGCGGTTTAACCCTGACCCGCCCCTAACCCGGTGCGGTTTCTCAATCTAGGAACTGAACCCAAACCGCTGCGAGTTCGGTGAGGTTCGGGTTCGATTTTTGCGGTTCGGATATGCAACTCTAAGTTAGCTTAAGTATATTTAGATTATATTAATAGGCATACGAGGATTAATATTATATATTATAATTACTATTATATATATATTTATATATTAGGGTTTATATTTCTAGCTGTAAACCATGAACTCCCCTAATATAGGTTAAATCTATTCCTTCTTAGGTTAAGATAAAACCTCTACATCTCAGCTCTTATATAAACAAAATTTCAGACTAAAATAATTAGTATATAAAGAGATATTATCACATCTTTTAAGCATAAGATATTAGGTTAAAAGTAGTGGTTTATCTAACTTAAAACCAGACTAAATCTAACTATAGTTAGTTAGTACCCACCTAGCTATGCCTGGCTGGGCCTAGCTACAGGTTTTTATAGTGAAACTATAACCAACCTAGATTAGGTCTGGGTTGGCTCCACATTCTGAAATTTAGACTTGAAATTGCAGCAGTCTGGGTCTAACCATGGTTGAACTCACCCAAACTTGCACCAAATGCAACTCTAATCACGCTCACCGTGTTGAGAAGCAGTCAGATGTCTTCTTCTACTGCAGGTGCCTGTAGCGAACTCCTTTGGCCTGAACAATTGGCAAAATGTGAGGGAATCCGTTAGACAATTATAGGATCTAATAATGTTGGAGGCTTTTGAACAGCCATTCAACTGTAGCTAGAACTGACCTTGACATTCCATTCTGGTAAAGATACACCTAACAGTCGAGGATTAAACAAAAGTAGACCAAGGTTGCTCGAGTAATCCATTGTATAGGGCTCCATCTTCAGCATAATGTCTTGCTTACGCCATTTTCGCTGGCATCTTTTTCGGAGCTGGCACCTGCTGCGTAACACAGTGGATAACCCCTCCACTCAGAGGAATCGTACGCAGAGGAACCTGACGCACCTCGCGATCAGGCAATAGCGCCTGCCAGGTCTCTAGAGCCTTGCGATCATGCTTCTCAGACCCGAATCCAGGGATGATAAGGCCACCATTACAGAAATAGCAGTTGAGGTACGAGGTGACGACCTCGTCGTCAGGCGAGACACCAATGTCTTCAGGAGATGGCTCCTCAATAATATGGATCTCAAACCGTCGCCCTTTGGCATCGGTCTCGCGCTGCATGATGTCCAGAACCTCTCTCCCGCAATTGACCCACTCCCCTGCGCTAGGGGCATGGCGCGTTACCACAACCACGCCAGGTCGCACGAACCGCACCTCAGCATCTAGGTGGGCGTCTGTAATATCAAGGTCCTTTCGCCCTGGGCACCAGATCACCTTCTTAGCACCCAAGAGCCGGCGCAGCTCTTGCTCAATTTCAACCTTAGTTTGGCCGGGGTTGCGCTCCTCGCAGATCAAGTAGCTTTCACCGACGACGAGTGTGCCATCACCGTCGACAATGAGACCACCACCCTCGGTGCGGATTCTAGGAATGACTCGCCGCACGGGCGTGGGCGACTGGTCAGAGGCGATCACTGCGCGTGCAAAATCCGTGTTCTCCTTCAATCGCTCTTTGGACATGGACGGGTTGCCATATCGGTAGTGGCCCTTTTCACCCTTCCAACCGTTTTTGTTTCCCCATTCGTTGAACTCAAAGCTGATTGCGAGGCGCTCACCGGTCTCATTATGGACGTAGACGGGTCCTGTGTCGCGGACCCAGCAGTGGTTGATTTTGATTGGGATGATGTGCACCTTTGAAGGGATGCGCACCTTGCTGTTGACCAGTGACTGGGCGTATTGTACATCTTCAGGGCGAGCATACAGGCGCACGGGCTCAAAGTCCGAGATGGCCGCAGCGAGATCGACAATCTCCTCGCAATTCTTCTCCCACAGGGCCTCCAGGCATGAGGCTCTGGAAGGGAAGCCTAGGATGGTTGCGATATGGGTATCCCATTCAGGAGGAAAGGTGAAATGGCCTGTTTCAAGAGGCTTATCCTTATCCAGTGGCGGATGGTTTTCCCCATTGTTTTCAGAGGAAACCTCCCGGTTAGTACTCATATAGCCGCCCATTTCGATGTGGTGGATATTGGCAGGGAAGTTTGAGTGAATTGAAGTTTTTGAGCTGGAGAAGTGAAAGAGAAGATGTAAACAGGGAAATGGCAAGAAGGGGCTTTCCTTGCAATAAATCAACGCTGTAGGGAGACTCCGTTGCTTGCAAGCAGCGTCTGGCATTTGATGTAACATTTATAGTCCTTCATCTGGGGCCTCTCGAGTGAAGGGCAAAAGTCCACTGAGTGAACATCCTTTACGCTGAAAGAAGCAGTGATATTCCATTTGCAGTTGTCGAGGCTTCCAATATCTGTGATTGGCGTATGGAACCTGGGAACATCCCTGTAACCCCATTGTTGTACGTTTTTTAATGTACCCTGGAAACATCAAGGGAGAACAGCCAGCCACCTGACCCGAGTCCTCCCACCTCTTTATTCCAGATAAATGGCACTATCTCCACCATGCCATATCTGCTATAGGTTAAGATTACCAGAAATGCAGGAATTACGTCAGTATAATCATACACTAGGAGACTATAGCTTATAAGTATATGACTATAATACCTCTCGCCTAAATTTTGGGCCCTGCAAATTAACCAGTAAGGGATTTACGGACCTCACCGGAACTTTAATTTGAGAAATGTATCTCGGTTCAACCCGCCAGTACGAAGTGTATTCTCACAGCGACAGTTGCATTCCGTCGTATACTGTCTTTAGAGATCCACTTTGGCAAATTCAGCCCCTTTGGCATCGACCGCTTCCTGCACCCCATTACACCATCAAAATTAATCGAAAATTACGGATGTTACAGCATGACAGTGTGTCTAAAATATAATAGAATATGCTAGTAAAGCTCGACAGAAAATGATAAATTAGATCCATTAAAAATCGAGATCATTCTACACTTTATCGAGAGGGTTTTGCTTCTGGTGCTTTGGTATATAAAAGCCTCTTCCGCCCAATACTTCTCTAAGGGAGACTTGCTACTTTAGTAGATATCTAAAGCTACTGTCTGTGCCTGAATAGCCTGTACCTAGGAAGCCTGCGGCAGAATAGCTTTCAGCTGGATAGCCTGCGCCTCTGCTAGCTCTACCCTCTTAATACGTCCTAAGCCTGAGGCGCCTCAAGGCTATAGTCTCAGCCTAGACCTAGTATTATAGGTATCTAGTATTGTAGGTGTATGAGTGTAAGTTATGGCTAGAGGTAGAGCAGAATCTCCCTTAAGGGGTGTGTAGGTATGTCCGGGCAGATAAATTGCATTCCTTGCTGTTAAGGGCTACTGCGGACCATAGCACACGTAGCTGACAATGAGGAAGGTTCAGACCTATTCCTATTAGGGACGTGATTTACTGTACCATATTCCGCAAGGCTGAGTATTCCGCAACTCAGCAATTAGTTAGTTCTCCTTCTTTAGGCAATAATATACGGCTACCCTGCTTTGTTCACGCTAATCTCCTATGCACTTGCAGATTCCTGGTTAAATCACTCCGAATTCTTCATTAGACATTAGCTATTGATTGATAATGCTATATTATTTTACTACTTACCAGTCATTCAACGCAGCGTTTGTCAAAGGAGGTGGAAGATTTGCCAACGTGGGTGGATATGACTCCCATAAAAATACCATTAACCAGGATTGGCTAACAAAGGGATCTAATCAAAGCCTTGGAGCGCCATTTCGTATGGACTACAGCGCTGGGGCTCAGTTGGGAATCTCATCGGCGAGACAGATCATGGGGTCAGATCATATGACAACTATCCCATAACACCTACGCCGCGTCACTTTGTTACCTCATACATCTCAGATTCCCAGATCTTAGCCCTAGATCGAAAACCCCTCCTGAGATAGATTGAACACCATCCACCATCCTGGCCCAACCTTTTTCTCTAGTATCTTTCAAGTTTCACTGAATCCATCAGATCCAAATCGATTCATTGTTTTCAGCACTCGCGTCCGAGTGTTACCGTCGCTATGGCCACCACATATCGCCTTCCGCATGAAGGGGAGAACCGCCCTAAGGGAGCCATCCTCATGGCATGGCCAGGGCCTGAAAATCGCAACTATAAAAGGGGCGAGAAGCAACGGTTGGAAAAGGAACTCGCAAACCTTGCCAAGGCGATAAGTGATCACGAGCATGTAATCCTTATGGTTCACTCTACGGACATGTCCAGGGCGGAAAGAATGTTTAAATTCTGCGGATTTAAAACCTGCGGCAAGCATGGTGTGGAAGTCCTACCTATTGAGATGCCAGACTTGGAGTTTTGGATGCGCGATGTTGCGCCGACATTCGTGCTCGATGAAAACGAGAATGTCCATGGGATCGACTTCAACTTTAACGGCTGGGGAGGACGGTATCCCTCTAACAACAATAGACGTTTCGCCCGACACATCCTCAAAGAGAAATCACTACTCGGTGATCGATCAATTCCTTGCGTGAAGAGCTGTGTGGGTGGTTGCAATGAGATTCGCGACGAGATCTGCGACCTTGTTCTGGAAGGCGGCGCTCTAGAGACCGATGGAGAAGGAACGTTAATCGTAACCGAGAGCTCTATCATCAACCCCAACCGCAACCGTGGCGTCACCCGAGAGAAGATCGAGGAAGAGTTTCGCCGTCTTCTTGGCGTGACCAGGATTATCTGGGTCCCTGGTGTGCCTGCTGAGGTGGAAGACTACGATGAGGTGACCGATTGTCATATCGATGGCTGGGTCCGCTTTGTCGCTCCTATTAGAGATCCTAAAGATCCTAATAAAGATGTTAATCAAGTTGTTTTGAATTACCCTGGGGAAGACCGGCCTCCGATGACGGATATCTATAAGACGACCAAGGAAAAATTGTCACAGGCTACAGACGCCAAAGGCCGGGCTTTCAAGATCATCGACCTTCCTGAGGCGGGTATAGGACTCAAAACCCCTGATCCAGACCGGTGCCTGAGTTATGTGAACTATTTGCTTGTAAATGGCGCGATCATCATTCCACGATTTGGATTTCGTCAAGCCGATAAGAGGGCCAAGGAAATTTTTCAAGGTCTCTTCCCAGATCGCAAGGTTGTTCAGGTATTCCTCGAGGAGATTGCATGGTCTGGCGGTGGTATCCACTGTGTCACGCAGGAGATACCCTGGACGAAGTGATGACGGCGTTCAATAATCTATTCATGTTATCTAGTTAACTCTGTTTCTTAGTATGTTGTAGTCAAGAGTTCAAACATCTTATCTTGTACCAAGCCAATTGAGAGTCAAATCTAATACATTCTGCTCCATACAGAAGTAGATCCAAAACGGAGGAAAAGAAAGTACTATGGGGGTTTCTTCTCAAATAGTGTTAGCAGGGAGCGCGTCTCAAGGGAACTGGATCACAACTTATGCCTTGGCTACTTTATCACTGGCAGTTGCATCAGGTGTTATTCAACACGGTACTCAATGCGGGGGAAGCTAGTGGATAAATTTCTAAAATTATTGTAGCATCAGTCGAGCCTTGATATATTATATCAGAGATGATAATACGGTCCTGGGTATAAGCTGGGAGATAGTAAATCAAGAGATTCAAATCGACTAATTAGTGGATTTTAGTAGCAGGGGTGCATTGTTATTGTCAGGAAAGAATACTTTATAGCATATACCTGAACATGCTATACTAAATGTCTGTCACACCCACTACAGCTCCTTTGTCATGAATCATTTTAAATGTCACACTACCACTCTGGAATCACTTGTCTCGGTAATAGAATCTAGCCTCCACATATACCTACTATACCACCAAAAATGATTGGCTAAACCACCGGACAACCATTGATGATTGACCTTTGGAATCTGGTTGTCATTCTAGGTGTAACCCTTCCCCAGAATAGTGCAAGATGTATGCTAAGCCACTGTTACAATTTCCGGCAATCATGTCTCCAGTAACCCACATGCTTGATATGACATGTCAAATGCAATTAGAAATCATTTTCGCTCGACCCTGCAGCCTGTAATACTACCCAGAAGTCCATTGAATATGCAAAGTTAATGTCCCATGCATCATTGATCCCAGTGCACCGGAGTAAAGCTCAATGATGGGATGTTACATGAACCAAGACTCCTAGGGACAAAATGCAGTAAAACTAGTTGACATTGGGTCCGTATGTCGCGCAATATAGTGATTATTACGCCTTAGGTGGCAGAGTCAAGTGACGTTCTCTAGAAATCCATATTATTAGTGCCACTCTGACACAGCATTGCAATGGAGCTCTATACGCTCAGGATTCCACTGTTAGAGTTGCATTCAGTCTGAGTTTGGCTGAGACCAACCCCAGTTGGAACTGAATTGCTGTGATTTTGAGTCCAAATTTTAGAAATCAGAACCAAATCTGATCTGGTCTAATTTAGTGCAAGTGTCACTATAAATCCGCCCCTAGGCCTAGATAGGCAGTCACTAACTACCACTATCATCTGGCTGTATGCAAACAACTGCGGATTGAGTGAATTGGCATAGTTTCTTTTATCTTTCATTCGATCTACAGATATACGGTACTAGTATCCCTCTAGGAACATGGCCTTTTTTATAAACAGACACTGACGGGCGATGTGTATATCTCCCAGTGTGGGACGTAGTGTGCATCCCTGTTAGTAAAGCCCACTTTGCTGTGCTTCTGCCATTAGGAATGAAACAAGAGCAAAATGTAATAGGGATCATTTGAACCATATAGAGATATATTCAACAAGAATTTCGCAAACAGAAAAATCCCTTCGCATGTAAGAGCTTAATTAGTTAAGGCCATACATGTTGGATCCAAAGGTAGCGTACATCCAAAAAGGTATGCGCCGATCTTGGAAAGATATATAAACACAATAAGAGATAGAGCAAATCTTTATGCTGCTAGCATTAGAACCTGCTGTATCACACAGTGGATCACCCTACTACTTCAGGGAATAGTGTTAAGTTGCGGCTGTCATACCTTGCACTCTAGCCCCAGCATCTACAGGGTTACCCTTACCTTTTAGTTATACTCCTTAATACTAAATCTGGGAATAAACACTCCCCTATTATAGAAATAGGAATTAGCATACCTAGAAACAAACTCATTATACTTATTAATCCCAAGGTCCTCTAGACTAAGCTTATTAATCACATATAGTTTGAATTTCCAGCCCTTCGCGTCTATTTTATTTTCTAATATATTTTAGATCTTATGGGACATGTCCAACCACACATATGAAATAGTAGGGTGATGCTATAACTAGATAAGGACACCTAGGTAGATGAATTGCACCTTAGCATCCACGTGGTAGTTAGTATATCAAGTCCCTTCTATCCAGGATAGAGTTGCATTTGGTGGGAGTTCGGGCGAGTTCAACCATAGTTAGACCCAAACCGCTGCGATTTCGAGTTCAAATTTTAGAACCCGCAAAACCCGCCGCTAGGCCTAGCTAGGCCGCTCATGACTAACCATAGTCAGATTCGGGTTGGTTTCGGGTTGGTTAAACCGCTACCCCTCAGTGAATTTCAATGGTTTTTAGATTTCAATTTCTCCTACCTTAGGCCTATGCCCAGGGCCTATTAAATATGCTTATAGAAAATTAATATTTTATATGAAATATATGGTAATTATAGTCATTATAGTCATTTTAATCTATAGGGCTGAATAGGTGGTGGTTAAAAAATCATTTCTAAACCATGATGGTTGTCAACTATTAGTTATATATATATATACAGTGGCGCGACAAAAGTCTGAATCCAGCATATTTACCGCTAGGCCTGATTAGGCAACTCCCTAATGTTCTTTCCGCAGATTCAAATCTTGAGATACCTCTCTTAATAATCAATATTATGGCACCTCGCAAAGAATTATCTCCGCAGATGCAATCATGTATCTGTGAGCTCCATAGTATTGGATGGGGTCCTTCTAGAATTCATAAAAAGCATCCTAACATCCCTCTTGGTTCTATTAAGACTACTATTCGTCGAGAATCTATCCAGAATGACAATATGACGCGCCCACGTTCAGGCAGACCCTAAAAGCTTACTGAGGCTCAACGCGACCATATCTATGATCTTAGTCAGTCTAATCCACATATTAAATTGCAAGATATGCTGGCAGAGGTTGACTTCTGTATGAAAATGCGTTTAATCCAGAGACTTCTTCATGAAATGGGCCTCCGTAAATAGAGGCAACTCCGCCGTCCAGAGCTCCAGCCTCGCCATGCTGCTCAGCGTCTTGCATGGGCATGTCATTATAAATACTATACATTAGAAGATTGGGCGCGTGTTAAATGGTTAGATGAATGCTTAGTTGAACAAGGTGCAGGTGTACAGGCAATCTGGACCTTCCGGCGTCCATCTAAGCAACTCTCTGCTGGTGATGTCTGTACCCGACGTACAGGGAAAGGTGTTAAGCAGATGTTTTGGGCTGGATTTAGACAATCTATTTAGACAGGCCTTATTCCACTTCATGGTGATCCAAATATCGGCCGTGGAGGGGTTAATTTAATACATATTAAGGCTTTATACCGAGCAAGGCTTCCAGAGTTTGTATTTAAGGGTGATATCTTTATGCATGATAGCACGTCTGTGCATACTGCAGGGATTGTTCAACAGCGTCTTCAAGATCTAGGGATAGAGGTTATGGACTGGCCACCTTACTCACCTGACTTAAATCCAATTGAGAATCTATGGGCTATCATGAAGCAGGAAATCTATAAGCTCTATCCTGAACTTGAGCACGCACCAGATACAGCAGATATACTTGAGCAGCTTGTCCATGCAGCAAAGGAGGCATGGAATAATATTAATTGTCAAATACTAGAGAAGCTATCTGGTACCATGCCTCGCCGTGTTAAGGCAGTCATTGAGGCAAATGGCTGGTATACGAAGTATTAGATTCAAATCTGCAGATATTATGGAATTGCCTAATCAGGCCTAGCGGTAAATACGCTGGATTCAAACTTTTGTCGCGCCACTGTATATTCACACCACTTTCATACCAACCCATGACAGAGGTATTTATTTCCTTATACCTTAATAACCACTAGGTATTTTCTAATAATTTTAATATTATTAGATAGCTTGAATTAGGGCATATCTAATGATATTAAAATTATTAGGATATCTATAGAATTCAGTGATTTATAGGTAAAATGGGTTGGGCAGTTTCACCTAACTCAAAAAACTACAAAAACTATAACGAAATGGTTTAACTGAACCCAAAATAGTTCTGGGGTAGAGAAACCAAACCCAAAGTAATTCCCTAGGCTTACCCCTGAACCCACACCGCTTCGAGTTCGGTGAGGTTTGGGTTCGATTTTTGCGGGTCGGTTGACTCGGTTATGCCACTCTAAATAATAGCCCACTTTCAGAGCACAGACAGATGAGAAAACACTGACTGAATATCCGGTAGTTTCTAGATATTCATTGTGGGACATTAGTGGACACTACACGCTCTTTAAAGTTTGACACAAGGCAAATGGGCAGCCAGGACCAAAGTAAATAATATTCAAGAGAACCGTAAACCATTCCGAACCAAGGTACTACTTGGTAGCAGCCCCAATCAGTTGATCATAAATTGCGGTTGGCGCCTGGCAAAGATCAATCTTGTAAAATACATTTTACGAAGAAAATGGCCACAGCAAATAATATCAGCCCAATCTGATAAACATGCAATTCTGCAGTAAGTAAAACTGATAAATCCACAGGAGATGTTGAAAAAGGTCTACACATTCAATAAAAGTAAGTATTTCTCCTTCAACATTAGTGTACTTATCTGCGTCAATAACTGTCCGATATTGAGACTGACAGTGGGTGGTGGTTATAAGTAGCAGTTCACGCCACCCATCAGAAAGCCATGGGACTTTCTTGCCCTATCACAGATCTTGGAACACCCTTTCAAAAACGTTAAATAAAGGTGGCCTGGTGGCCTGGAGCTCTCCTCCGCTGGGCGAACCATGGCTCTGTGCAAGAAGTACCCCACCGACGATGAATCAGACCAAAGCATCAACCAAGAGCAAGGCGTTGGCCGGCCTCCTCTGAGACCGTGATATGATAAAAGGCCCTGCCCCCGCCGAAGGTAATATTTGGTATGCTGTTTTATATTGATTTCCGTTCCAGTCACTCTTCGGGGAGCGGTGATGGCGGGGCATAAAACGCCCCTGAATTCGCGAAGGATACGGATCTGTATACAGGATGGCCAAATCGCCTACAGGCGCTCCAACTTTGTTGGGTTCTAATGAACTTCGCGAGGTCAGCGAGAAGTCAGCACCGAAGCTGCGAACTGCGAATGAAGTGATTGTTGCAGTTGGGCTGGCGTTCAGTACCAGTTTCCTTATTATGCGGATTTATACCAGGGCCCGTATCATGAAGAAGTTTGGGTGTGATGACAGTATGTTTGGCGTTACACAATTCAACATTCTTTTAGGACTGAGGTGAACCAAAGGCTAATGCGCAGCTGCTAGTACTTCTAATAATGGCCTGGGTGAGTCATGTGGTTGATGGTAAACGCTAATGGATATGAGAAACTTACATGTTTACCTGGGCTAAATAGATATTTTCGTTGGGGACACAGGCGATCATTCTAAGTGCGGAACCCAGCTGAAATAAACTCTTTTGATGGACACTGCAGCTAAGGAGGCCTTTTTTAGATGCTTATGCCCATGCTGGTCTGGGTGTTCATATAGACGAGTTACCAGTATCAACAATACAAACATATGAAAAGGTATGACTGTGACTTATTATGCTGAAAATTTGTGCTACTGCTTACGTGTTGACTACAAGTGCGTCCTGGCTACTTCTACTATTTATATTTTCGCTCTGGCGTTTGCCAAACTGGCTTTGCTGGTGCTTTATTATCAGCTACTGCATATATTGCCGGTTTGGAGATATACTATCTTCGCAGTGTTTTTCATCATTGCTGGTTACAGCATTGCGCTTGCCCTAGCCCTGATATTTGCTTGTCATCCTATCCAGAAGGCATGGGATATTTCTGTTACCACAGGTTCCTGTATCAATCGTCAGGGCGCCTATCTAGCAACTGCGTGCACAAACACAGCCAGTGATATTGCTTTGATCATCATACCGATCCCGGCTGTATGGAACTTGAAGATGCCGCTTGGTCAAAAATTGGCAGTCATTGGCATGTTCACTATTGGGTGTCTGTAAGCCGTCCCCCTTCCATTCTAGGTTTACTTAGGCAGTTCCCCTCTTACTTTCTAAATAGGACTATAATTACAAGCATTGTCCGCTTGGCAACTCTATGGCCGTTAGTAACCTCGAAGGACCCGACGTATGAGCTTGGACTTGCAGGTATATTCATGTGAGTTGCTTAAATTGTATCGTCACTACTATGCCAGTAGGCAAGGTTATTGATACTCCATATAACTCGCAGCAACATTGAGGCCAATTTCATAATTATGTGTCCCTGCCTTCCCTTCATACGTCGATTCTTCCGGTACCACGCTCCTAGGTGGATCCGTGATTCTGACAGAAGCCCACAGGGCCAGAGCGACACTTCGGCAGCCTCACAGAACAAGACCAGCACACCTGCTCATGTTCAGCGTCAGGATGATATTGAGATGTCTGTAAATATGGGGGATGAATTGTGAGCTGTTAGCAAGATGGAGGATGTGAATTAAGCAAACCTCTTAGGCACAATCGCTGCCAGGTACTGCGACCACGCAATGTCTAAGACTGTTCTTAATGCTACTTCTGGTGATTTAGTACATAAGAAAGCCCATTTATAATAGTCTAATGTATCGAAACGGAGTTCTCAAGGCATCCATACAGAATACAGCTGCAATACTCACGGCTATCATACCTGCAGTGCGCTCTGTGGAACCCCTGTATACTCACTCCATGCCCTGACATTTGAGTGCTTCAACATATATATCCGTCTAACGTCTCTCTCGCTATCGCGCGTAATCCTCTCGTCCGACTATTTCTTGCCGCTAAGCCGCCAGTCCAAAGACACGCTGAGGCATCTCCAGCTGCATTTATTGCAACTGCACCAGGGCACTTGGGACGAAGTCCTCCCTTTATGGCGCAGCTAGCGCATCTCGTTGACTTCTCCATCGGCTCGCTCGGGTATCCGGCGACTGGCCCGAATGCTGCATTGTCTGCCATGGAGTCTATGCCAGATGATACGGTCGCCCTTGAGACTTTGAACGTCGCAAATGAAACCGCGTTTGAGAGGCTTCGGGAGAGGGTTAACGCGAAATAGGGCGGCTAAGGGGCTTCAGCCTTTCACCTATCGTGATTTTCGAATCTTCTGAAGAGGAGGTTTGATGGGAGAAGGAATTATAGGTTATAATGGGTATGTTGAGGTGGGCGAGCTCAAATGCAAGAAGGATACTTAGGTTTAATGATATTTAACTGCAAGGCAATGCAAAAGACCACTGAATGAGCTAGTGGAAATTTTGCGTGGTGCACTGTGCAGGCGCCCCCGAAGACCCTTGGCACCAACATCACAGCGACCAGGACGTATAATACCTATAAGGCTCTATGATATTCAGATATCATTGTGTTGAATAATCCACCAGACGCGCAGCCCGTCAGGTGCAACACCAGGCCAAGAGGAACATGCTGATGGTCTGCCGCGTGAAGGAAGGACTCCTCATATTGTTGGAGCATGGCAAGTACCGAAACTCCCTTTTCAAATCGGACTCTCCCAACCAGCGTATTGGTGAATGGGCCAACAATGTCAAAAAGGCATATGCTGCAGATAAAGCCGACCGTCAACCCTCGCACGGGATACAGTGAGGGATTTTTGGTGTGTGCGAAAGAGTTTGGTTGCCATGTCAACACTGCGATCAGAGGCATGATGAGAGACCATCGAGCTGAGGAAATGAGGGGCGACGTGTGAGATGAGTTTTGGGTACACTGTCTAGTTATTGTGCTTATAGGTGATATACGGTGTAAGTTAGGTTCATAGATCTCATTCACTGTGCAATATGTGAAGCCACAGAACACTTTCTACACAGATCAACAATCTATAACCCCAGGACTGTATCAATCCAAAATAACGCATGCTGTCCCTCCCCCTTGACATTCAGATCATCCTCATTATTATGAAACACAGCGTCCGGTGCCCCCTCAAACCAGAGATGATATCCTGGGCCATCTAAGGGGTAGATATTATCCCCTCTCGGCGTGATGATATACCTCCCTTCCTCAATCAGCCACTCCTCAAACTATATATCCATTCCCTCATCATCAAGCCCAATCCAACTAAGCCCCAGCCAGTCAGTTTGTGCCAGTGAGACGTGGGAATGAGAATACATACTGCCCCTTCAAGGCTAAATATTTGCCGGTCTCAGTCTCCTTGAACTGGAATCCATTGTCGCCCTGCTCGACGTAAAACCGGTCACCCTGCAGCGTGTCTGTGGCATTTGCATACAGCGTGCCCAAGGAATCATAGTGTTCTACATTCTTGCGGGTCATGGTGAGGAGCTGATCATGGGAGGTGATGTTGCCAGCGTCGTCTCGCTGGAGGGGCAGGCTGCGGCGGTAGCTATGGAGGTTCACAGTGTTGCCAGGGGATAATTTTGGGTGGTGCGTTCAATAGGTGCGGCCCATTGTAACAGTGGATATGCAATTGGCGTGTTGATTTGAAAATATGTTGGTCGCGGGACTGTGTTATTGTCTGGGAAAACACAGTGCTGGACTGGATGGACATATGGTTTATATGTTTGTCCAGAGCATTGGATTTCAAGACTACGTCATTGTGTAAACCTGATATCATGATGATTATGAACATGTGCTCATCTGCAACCACTCAGCTAGTATTTCATGCCTATGGACTAGTGTGCGTTCGGGTGGTTGGTGTGATGTTGCATGGTTCGTAATGGCGGCCGATCATCTCCCAAGAAGGTAAACCATGAAGAAATATCCAAGCTGGGTGGAGACTCCATGCATACCTAGCGCAATCCATGAGATTTATAGCATCTACGTAACTACGTTGGCGATATTCTTCTCAGTATGTCATGTTGACGCTATACACGATGTCGCCCTCGCAGGGTATTTTGCAATTGACCCATCTAGATATGAGTGATCATTGATATAGACATGTATTCGTGTCCAACGGAATACAAAACCCAACAGCATATGTGGAGGATGAGGACACTAATAGCAATGACATACCCAAGTTAGAAGTCCCTAAGCCGGCAAGCAATGCCAGCGCAGTGACGATCCTTTCTATCAATATACTATCCCAGAAGGGCAACAAATAATCACAAAAGGTAGTCGCAGCTATCTGGGTCGTTTCATATCCATTCCCCAATTTTAACATACAAAAGGCCAGAAAAGGCCTCCTAATGTCAACAGCAGAACAATTACTAGCTAGATTCTGGCTACTGAAAGTATACTCACACTTGTATGGCCATTGGCTGATTAATAGTACAATAAACCCTTAGAGCCTAAATATTTGAGGGGAGTAACAATGTTTCTTGACCTTCCAATGCAAAAAATTTGTGTACTGCTCAAAACCTCAGCTATACCTGTGAGATCATGCCCTTTGCCCCTGTTCGCCAAGAAAACATATTCTGCTATTCACCCTTTAGATTTAACATCCAGTAGCAAGGCACTTCGACGGTACATTGGGCCGCACGACACAGAAGGCCATTCATGGAAATGTTCCAGCCCTATCAGTACAACGTGAATGCATCTATCTCTCAAACACGCGCTTATCTACAATGTATCTCACAGACCAACAAGGTGGTTAAGTTCTCCTTGCCAACCGCCATAATTACGGCCATTTTCCGAATGTAAGAGGACAATGCGACTTGCGGTGTGCGGAATTGAGCGGACATACATATATTATTGAACCCTTGCTGCAGTGCAACAAGACCCAAGTCAACATCGTGGATAGCGAGCATCGCCTTACTACACTGGTCGTTGCGGTAGTAATGGGACATGAACAAATCGTGTGGCATTTCTTGTAGTCCTGATAAGTGGATGTCAATGCACGGGACCAACAGCAACGGACTCCCATCTATGCCATTTCCCAGAACGACCGGATGATGGTGGAGGTTCTTAGGTATGAAAATTTCTAAAAATGTAATTTTACCTACCAGGCCGAATGCAGTTTATTAGCTCGCCTTCTCACAAATGACAGTAAGTCTAGTAAAGCGAGTCTCCTTTGCAGCCTGGGCCAGCACCTGTTTAAGTTGTTGCATGCTCTCCTCATGCCCACCTGCTCTGTTTCAAGCCAAGACCTCTGTGGCTAACATTCCACACTCATGCACTGCAACTCACAAATGGGGCAGCGCCTCTTTTACATCAGATTTAATATTAGTGAATTTGCTATGCTTAATAAGATAGGGCAGTCTTGAATCCACACAGAATGAAGGCGGGCATCATTTTCTTGAAAAAGGCTCATTAACTTGGTCTGGACGTCAACCTTGGCATTAGGATGGGCCTTTCAACACAAAGTAAGGACATGTCAATATCAGTCCACTAGAGATAGCCCCTAAACTCTATATAACAGCAGTTAGAGCAACAGGAATTGTAGATAGGATGGCATACTAAGAAGTTTAATGGTTTGTCAAGTACGCCCTTCAAGTGAGGCTGTTAGAGGACAAAGGCAAAATGGCAAATATAAACCACATCATAGGCTCCCAGCAGGTGCTTGGGAGTTCGGCCGTGATATCCCAGTGGTAAAGGCTGGGCGGGAGCCAGTCTCATAGAGGAGTAGCTTCAAAGGAGATATCAAATCCATCTAGTTAGATACTTGCAGGGATTTGTCCATATAAGTAGTTGCCATGGAATAGTTTATATGGACATACCCCCTACCAGTTCCAACATTAGCAATCTATAAGTTTTCCACATCCTTGACTGGAATCAATGGGTGGATGCAATATCCAAAGAGTTAGATGACCAGATAACGCTGCAGGTTAATGCTGCAAATATAAGTATGTAGAAAGGCAAAGCTTTGGATAATTATACTAGTTATTATCCAAGTAGCTCTGAGTAAAGACATACTCTGCAGAGGAAGACATGTTACCATGCCTCGAGCCTCCAAGTAGAATTGCCAAACAAACAAATGTACTTATTAACGCTCGATAATTGAGAGATATAGTGAAGGATGAAAAAGTAGATGGCTGGGAATGACCCTTGTAGGGTAGTACCGGTACCCCTTAGTAGCATCTGTAATAGGACGGTGAGGTGGCATTGTGCTGGATGGGTTGTCTTTCCTCTAGCCTTTCAATGTTTGTCTTCTTTTTTCTTTCTGTCCGTTAATACACACACACATTTCATTAACGCCCGGCAGCTAGGCCAAAAGGATTATTCCCAAGTGACTTTAGCTCTGGCAACCATATACATCCGATTTGTCCTTGCTTCTCCCCCTAGTAAACCATCAATCAGTACTTGGTCAAAATTTAGGGCAGTTCATACAGTCTATACCCCTGCGAAATCTGTGGAGCTATGAGGTCTGAATATGACAGGGTGATATTCAGTATTTCTAGGGGTAATCTTTAGGCATGGTTCTGGGCATTTTTGCTATCCCATTTGCCCTACTTGAGCCTGGCTAAACACAGTCTATAATGCATTTTAGTACAGTTAACTATGAGAGAAACACAGATCCATAGTCTAGTTAACTCCAGGCAATACTATTACATACCTTTCCCTTGACCAACCTCATATATCTCCTCCCGATGAAACCGCCTTACACCCCCAATACTGAATACAGTCGACCTTGGTCAGAGAGAACCAACGCAAGATCTGATTTGGCCAGGCACCACTCCGCCAGGAAAATAAGAAGACACATAGGATTTGGACGTTACTGGTCGCGCTGGTGAGCACCCAACAAAGGAATCAGAAACAGCTGGACGTCTTGCTTAACCAGAATATATTGTAGGCTTACAAACACAGTCTCTACAGGCCGCATAGAAATTCTCTTCTTTCCCTACTAGTTGGAACCGAACCGCTGCGATTTCGAGTCCAAATCTTAGAAATCAGAACCAAACCTGATCCGTTCCGATTCGGTTTGAGTTTAACCACAAAAAACCGCTACTAGGCCTAGATAGGTCTAGCTAGGCCACTACTAACTAACTATAGTTGGATTCAGTTTGATTTTAGGTTGAAACCACTATCATTTGGTGAATTTTAACTGTCTTGAAATTTTAAATGGCTATTAACTGCCATACTATCTACCATACTATTACTATACCTATAGAAAATTAATATTTTTGTATGAAATATTGATAATTATGGTCATTTTAATCTATATCTAAAAATATCGATTCAATATCTATAGGGCTGAATAGGTGGTGGTTAAAAAGGCATTTTTAAACATGGTGGTTGTCAAGGATTGGTTGCATATATATAACCCACCACTACTTACATACTAACCTATGACAGAAATGCTTATTCCCTTATATCTCACCAACCACTAGATATTTTTAATAGATATTTCATATTTAGATAGACTAGATACTAGGCTATTTAGTGATATTAATAGTTCTAGAGAAATCCTAGAAATTAGTGATTACTAAGCAAAACAGTGAGGTTTGGTTAACCTAATCCAATAAAACCACAAAAACAATAACCAACGGATTAACTGAATGGTTTTGAGTTTTAGGGTAGGGAAACTGAAACAGTTGCAATTTTCTAGGCTAGGGACTGAACCCGAACCACTGCGAGTTCAGTGAGGGTTGGATTCGATTTTAGCGGTTCGGTTATGCAACTCTAAGTTTGGTGGTTTATCATTATATATACTTGGCTGCTTGGGTGAAGTTCACACTTTAAGGTGCTTCTGCCACTCAGTCTGCCGCACTGCCTTCCCTTTCTTTGCTGCTGTGCATGGGCTCCTGCACCCCACCAAATCTGCCTCTTCCTCTCTTACCTCTCTGCCTCTCTGCCTCTCTGCCTCTCTGCCTCTCTGCCTCTCTGCCTCTCTGCCTCTCTGCCTCTCTGCCTCTCTGCCTCTCTGCCTCTCTGCCTCTCTGCCTCTATCTTTGACCTCACTATCTCTTACTATCAACTGGCTTTGCATGCTCTTCTCACACTGGTTTATAAGAATAATATGCTTCATTCTTAATTCCCAGATTATCCCTCCCTAATGGCCGGGGCGGCAGTCTGGGCTGGATGCAGTCACCAGGATGGGGGGTGCTGAACAGCAGATGAGGGAGCCCAAGAGGGGGCGGGTGCTGTGGGAGCTTGCTTGTAGCCAAGCCAATCACCACCCAATAAGAAAAAGAAATTCGGAGCTTGATACTATAGAATTTACAAGCTAAGTAAGCAGGCTTTCATTCCACGCCAGGAAAAGTTCAATACATATGCAATGCAGAATTAGCAGTTCCACCTTCAAAAATCCTCAAAAAAGCAGTGTACAGCGGTTCTCGAAATCGGCTTGACCAACATACACTCAAAACTACTTTGTGGACCCACCGGCAAGGCATTAGCGCAGAAAAATCGTTGAAGGGGCTGCATTCAGTTGAGGGACAGTACAGTCAACACCTCATAAGTTTGGACACCCTCGCCCCAGACCCTCTATGATTATCTAATACTATGCTGGCTAAAAGCCCCCCAGGGGAAGAAGATTGTGGCAGAAGTGGCATTCATAAGGTAGGCGGTGAAGTGGTGAAGAGGTGGGTCAAGGAGGGGTCTAAACTTACGAGGTGTTACTGTAGAATCTGACTTGCGTGTTACAGTACCTAACTCCGTAAAATTACGCGATGCAGAAAGAATTATAGAAACCAAACCCAGCCATGTTTGGATCTAAGTTTGAAAACATCTTATCAATAAGCTTTTTTCCCAGCTTCTGCGGCTCCCCAGAAGGCCCGGCACCTGTTCGGAGGGCTCAGGTCCTTGAAACCAACAGAGTCAACAGTTCCCACTTCTTTTAACTCAGCTGCACCTTTGAATATGTCATGTACTTGAACAATGGTGCCACAAACCCTCGCATCACTCCCTTCAGAGATCCTTTCCGAGATCTTTGAACATCTCCCCCTATCAGACCTCGCAAGGCTCGTCCGCACATCAACATTCTTCGCTCGGATCGGAACCCGGCCTTTATATGATAGGCTCTTCTTCAATTCTGTCCGTCCAAAAGCCAGCGTTAGCATTGCAAGGTTACGGTCGCAATTCATTCTCGCTTATTTCAGCTCCAACTCGGAGAAACTGCTCGCGGTACAGGCTGCTAAGGGCCGGTCTATCCTCCACTATGTTGCAGCAGCTGGGAACAGGGCCCTGATGAATATTCTCCTGGAAAAGGGTGCCAATGTCTCCGTGAGCAATCAGAATGGCGAGACACCTCTACATACAGCCCTAGAGAAGGGTAAAGAGGCAATGGCCGTGGAGCTCATCGATGCTGGAGCGGATGTCCTCAGTCTGGCTCGTGGAAGAACTATCCTGGCTTATGTGCATACAGGTACCTCACAACCCGTCGTCGAAAAGTTGATATGGGCTATTCAGGCTGCTGGAGGGGATATCTCTCATTGCACACCTGATGGGCACACTGCATTACATTATGCAAGTCGCCGGGGCTACGACAGTTTAGTTGGTATTCTCGTCGCCAACGGGGCAGATGTATTCGCTGCCAATAAATACGGTCATCCGCCCCTGATTTCAGCTATTCTACAAAAACGCGTCGGGGCTAGCAAGATCCTCCTCAGCGCAATGAAATCGGATCCCCGCGGCTACGATATCAACGAGCCAATTGCTTCTCTCAAAGGTGTCCCTAGATCCTGGATTCCAGAGAAGATCTCTATGTTCTATGATGATGGAGATACAGTCCTGCACTCCGCAGTCAGGACATGGAGCATAGAGACAGTGCAGCTGCTCCTCGATTTTGGAGCCAATCCTTTAGCACAAAACAACCCAGGGTATACAGAGCCTAAAACGCCGTTTGATATCGCCGTTCTGGGCCGGTGTCCGGAACTAGTTATTTTGATTGCGGGGATCAACGACGCACCAGCATTTTGGACATCGAATGGTTATATTCAGGAAGGACTTGAGACCTGTGTCCGCGAGGCTTATGCCGGGACAGTTCGCGTGCTTTGTGACCTTTATAAGGAGGGAAAGGTTCACCTTGACCTCACCGCAGTTGCCAACGAAATGTTGCAGACGTGCACATATTATGGAGATCATGTGCGGGACCAGGATGTGAATGATACCATCACCTATGTTGTTTCCGCAGGCGCTAATATCAACGCGCAAGACAAGAGGGGGCGGACTCTCCTACACCTACTTTGCAGATTTGGTGGTGGCAAACATCAAGACGGCGCCAAAGTCAGATTGATAAAATATCTCTTAAATTGCGGTGCCGATTGGAGGATTCGAGATGAGGAAGGAAACACTGTCCTTCATACTGCTGCGAAAGAATGGGAGTGTGACCGTGTTATTCAGCATATACTCCAAACAATCTCACCAACAGATAGGGCAATAGTGGGCTCAGGCAATGGAGACCGAAATACGCCACTGCATTACTATGTAGGTTCGTTTGCTACCTCTGAACCCGAGTGCAAATCAACAATCAAATTGCTCGTTGACTCCGGCTGTGACCCGAATGCAGTTAACAGTAATGGGCAAACCATTGCTCATCTTGCCATGACGCAGTGGGTATTGATAGATGTGATCAAGTTCATTTCCGAACTCGGGGGAGATATGTGTTGTAAAGACCGAGAAGGCAGGCCACCAATCCATTACGCTGCGACAGTGCCCGACATGGAGGAGGCAGACCGAAAAAGGATTATCTGCTATTTTGTTGAAGAAAAGGCAGAACTTCATCGGGGCTGTAGGCAATGTGAATCTCTAATCCTAGGATTCTGTCGGGAAAGATAACATATCTCCCTATCAGCTTTGCTAGTGTTTGGTTGGAGGGCAAAGGGAACTACATAGCCATATTTCTATCGTGCAACATAGCTTCAGAAGAGAGTTATGAAGATTGTATTGGTCAAGGCGATTTTGAGAATGACTGTATTCTACAGTACCAGTATTCAAGCAGCAATATCTTCTGGATAGTCCTATATGCTTCCCTCTGGTGGCAAATCTTTCTCACACGGTTAGCCTACTTGTAGGTGCTGCAAATAAATCACCATGCGGCCCCCTTTATTACCCCTTGTTTAGTGAGTTGCTACACATGCTCTTGATCCTCTTTAACTAACGTGATGTCAAGGCCATTTAACAAAGTTAAATCATGTGCCTTACGCCAGTCCGCCTTGCGTGCTTTATCAGTGACCTGCAGTTTGTGCTATTTGCAGTATTCCTTGATGGCAGCAACTCTCAGCCTAATAATTTTAACTCTTTTATTTAAAGGTGCAGGTCTGGAGGGTGATATAGTCATAATAGATTCATATATGCCCTACGCAGGTAAGAGATTAATATTAATTAGATAGGGAGCATTAAATATAAGCTAATTATTTGTTTTATTTAAGGCTCTCTTAAGCTTTTACTGAGCCTTTAGGTATAAAGCTTGTTAAATATTCTCTGGGACATTATTATGGCTGTCTAATTTACCGCTATTATCCACATGGGCAGTGAGGTTTATAAGGTGGGGGTTCTGTAGTCTATAGTGTTTCCTACCCTTACGATCCTGCTAACACTACTAGCTAAAGTCACTATATAAAGGCACTGAGCATTGCATAAGTTTATATATATATCTCTAGCTTGAAGGCTGTCTAGAATATTCCTTAGTAATAATCTCTGCATCTTGTTTAGCAAGCATTCTGCTGGTGGAACCTTTCCTGTTACTTTGAGGTGATGTAGCATCATCTTATATATACTTAAATATAACAGTATCCTGGGGTGTCCTGCCCAGGTGGACTAGATTACTCTACTTATAAAGCTACCTCCCCAGTGGTTTCTAATTAATGTTAGTGGACTTAAAAGCGTCTCAAGCGGGCCTTGATTATTGTGGTTTACTAATACTATTATTACTATGTCTTCTGACTAGACACACCAGTTATGTTTCTTCATGTGCACTAACTCTTTAATTTTCTATTTCAGGTGCTTCTCCTAATATTCACTAGGAGCTATAACCAAATCCTACTTAGTCTCCTAGGCCTTAATTATATAGTTAATCATAAGCTTCCATGTGATTATATAGTAAATGAATTCGGGCTCTTCTGGTTCCTTATAGTAATTATCCTCTGTCCATTTCTCCCATTCAGCAAATGGGAGAAATCTAAGGTAATTAGGCTGTGTTTAGCAGGAGACAGGATCTAGGGTAGGGCTTAGGGAATATAGTGTAGTAGTGTATGGCTGAACTTACCTAGTATTAGCACATACTGTAAATCTTGGTCCCATGTGTTGATCAGCCAGGACTAAGAGGCTTTATCATCATAGCTTAAAAGGCTACTAGTCATCCTTGAAAGAAGGAATGGTTCTGATACACCTAGTAATTATACTATAAGCAGTTAGCCCACACCTATCTCATGCCTAACAGGCTGTCTAATAACACAGGGCTGTCCATGATAATAAGTAGAGCAGGGTTTGTGTAGTGAACAGCAGTACAGTACTAATAGAGCCTTGCCTGTCAGACCTTAGTCAGTGATGACGTACAGGATGATCCCGTGGCGGCTGTTGGTTTATCTTGTCGGGCTGGCATGGTTGAATTTTTTGAGCTTGCGGGTCTATGTTCTGGGTCATGCGGTGGTGTTGTCGAAGAATGTGTTGGCGTCGACTACGTCTACGCGAAGGGTGTCTGACAGTGGCGGGCAGTGTCTGTGGATTCAAGCAATAGCAGTGACGACTAGCGTATTAGTGATAGATGAGTTATGCCGGTGCGTAGATCTCCGCCTCGATAATTCCCAGATCGCCGTCCTCTGAAGCCACCGTCACACTCTGGCCAACAGTAGTATTGAGATCCAACGTCACATAACCCAGAGAAGTTGGGGTGATCCCTTCATAAACTACGTTGTCGTCCACGCTGATCTGAACTGGATACTTTGTCGTTCGGAAGCTGTGGAGCTTCATAACCATCTGCGACACATTGACTGGACTGTCCCAAGAGTACTTGATCCAGGTGCTGTTTTTGTCCCCGTCACAGGACCACTCTGTTTCCTCGTCATCGTCGTAGGAATCGATCATGTTCTCCGTGTCACATCCAGCAGTGACGTTCGGAACCTCCACGGCTTTGCGAGAGATGGTGTATGATTCACCCGACGGTGTCGGGCCGCGAGAGAGATCAAAAGGAAGATCTGACCCGGGAATGACGGTGCTCAACCCGCCCTTACTGGCAAATGGCTTGGTGTTGAGGGTGATGCTTGCTGGTTTGAGCCCGTCGGATGTAGCAGTCAGAGCCACCTTGCCGGCTCTTGTCGTAGACCGCAGCATGACCCGGTTGACTCCGTTTTCGACTGGGAGGGTAGTTGACAGGATGCAGTTGTTGGCGCACTGAGCGATTCCGCCACGCCAGGAAGCCTCGCCAGAAAGAGCAAAGTCAACGATGCTCAGAGCAATGGGGTTCCTTTGGCCCTTTGCATCGACCACCTCGACATCCACGAAGGCAATATCCGCACCGTCAGCCACAAATCCAGATGGCCCGGTATGAGGCGTCAGCCGGATACTGGCCGGCTCACCAGCAGTCGTCTTCGTGTCCAGCACAGATTCACGAGCGTCTAACCGTCCTACAGCCCTGATCGTGCCAGACTGCCAAGTTACATTGGCGAAAGTGAAGAGGAATCGGCTGCTCTGCTCGCCCTTGCCCACAGACTTGCCATTCAGAAACAGCTCCACCTCTTCCGCTGTGGACACAACATAGACATCCTTGACCGTACTGTCGTTGTAGTTCCAATGCCCGATGATATGCCCTGCCAAACGCTCGACATCAACCCAGCTATCCCACATCACCTTGTGCGCGTACCACCCATCCTTCGGCAGCCGGACGGCATCCACCTCGCCAGAGCGTCGGTAGCTCTCCGCTCCTCGGTGGTGTGTATTCGAGTCAGAAAATATAATATTCACGCCACCGGCATTAACCCTCGTCCCCGTCCCAGGCCGCTGCTCGAAATAATCAAACCATCGCCGCACATTCTCCACCGCATGCGTGTCCTGGTTGCGGTTGTACTCGCTCGCATCCTCCCCCTTGTACGGCGGCCCCGCCCCGTCCACATGGTACGGCGGCGACCAGTCATCCCAGTACTTCCTCAACCCCTCGTCACGACTATACTCCATCTGCCAGAGGGGGATGCGCGCCCCCTTATTGATATACAGCATTTCGCCCCCGTACTCCGCCACGGAGCTATTCAGCATCTCGCGCGATCCCGCCGCGCGACCCCCGTGCGGATCGTACGTATCCCGCAGAGCCTTCATCTCGCTCATGTGCGCCTCCGAGACCCCGTGGTTGCCGGCTTCGTAGAAGATGACGCTGGGGTTATTCCGGTTGTAGATGATTGCGTCGCGCATGAGCTCCGTGCGCTGCGCCCAGCGCCGGCCTGTTGCGTCGCCTTCGGAGTCGCCCGCCGGCAGGGCCTGGAGCAGGCCCAGGCGATCGAGGGACTCGACGTCTTGTTTCCAAGGGGTGACGTGCATCCAGCGAATGAGGGCGGCGTTACTGGCGAGGACGAGGCTGTTGGAGAAATCGGAGAGCCAGGGTGGGACCGCGCAGCCGAGGGCGGGCCATTCGTTTGTTGTGCGTTGGGCGTAGCCTTTTAGGTGGAGGGTGCGATCGTTGAGCTTGAACGCGCCGTGGGTGAACTCGGTTTTGCGGAAGCCGGTGCGGGTTGTGACGGTGTCGATGGCGTGGTTGTTGAGGAGTAGCGAGGTCCGGACGTCGTAGAGGTAGCCGTAACCCCAGCTCCAGAAGTTTAGGTCCGAGAGGTGTGTTGCGGTGCGGATGGTCCGGGTCTCATTCGCTTGTAGGGTGTACCGGCCGCCGGTGACGGTCTTGAGTTTCTTACCCTGTACGGCATCGTGGATTTCGACTTGGTACTGGAATGTCCTGGCTTGTAGATACTCATTGCGAACTTGCGATGCTATGTTGATGGTAGCGCTCTTGCGGGGTATATCCAGGTCGGTGGCATAGATGTAAACCCCGGTGGTCTGCAGATTGGAGTACAACGGTAGAGTCTGGTACAGTCGATCCGTAACATGCAGGAAAACGTTCTTGTTGATCCCTCCGTAGTTGGCATAGAAATTCTTGTCGTTCCACTGGTATGGCGTATTGGTGGCCTTCTCCCGGTACGTCCAGCTATTGTCGATTTGAGCCGCGAGGACGTTGGTCTGATTGTAGAGCGCGACATCGCTGACATCAAAGCCAAAGGCCATGACCCCGTTCTCGCTGCGACCGATCCACTTGCCATTAAGGTAAAACTCCCCGGCGTGGCGGATGCCTTCGAACTCGAGAAAGACTTTCTTATCCCGGCTCGTGGCTGGCAGGTCAAAATGCTTCCGGTACCAGGCAATTCCGGTGGACAGGTTGGCAATGTCCACGCGGAAAGCATCGTCTTCATTCCAGGCATGGGGGAGTGTTACGTCCTTCCAATCGTTGTCGATGAAGGACGGCGACTGTGCAGACGCAGGATTGCCCGCGAGTACTTTCCACCCAGGGTTGAAGTTGTATCTCATACGGCCATCATCTCTTGTTTGGACGATGAGCAGGAGAGAGAAGAACACGAGGACTGAAAGAATGGACTCTCTCATTGTAGATATATCGACAGATACCAATTAGAGCCTTAGTCTGTGTATCGTCCTCGACTGGGATCCCATTTATACCCTCGCATGATCAGATACTCCGCAGCCATCCTGCCACAATGGACATTCTGATGTCAGTTACCGATCCCGGCAACGGCAACTGCATAAGACGAGGGTGTCATTAATCCACCACTGGTAAGCATCCCTGA